AAAAAAAAAGTAAAAAAAGAAAAAAAAAGAAATATACTGGTTCCAATCACTGAGAATGACTGCTAAAAATACCCCGCCTCAAATTTATAGACAAATACAGATGCATGGCGGATTTTCTTCCTCTCTATTAAAAATGGACAATTCTCGGACTTAACAATGCATTTTTCTTTCTTAAGTTGAAGTCAGCAGGTTTATAACCAGTTGACTGCATCCCTTTTGTGTGTGAAAACTGTTTCTGTATTGAGAACCATTTACTTTGGTATTCTCTTTGTTTTGCATTGCATTTTGTCTTGTATTATTTTGGCCTGTTCTTATGATACAGTGTAAACCGGATATAAGAGAGCCTGATATAAGAGAAACCCGGATGTAAGAGAGATTTTCTATGGTCCCGTCCTCCCCGATATAAGAGAGTTCATTTTGAGTGACAGTGTGATGTCGTAAATCGGCCAAACAGAGGTCAGTTAGAGAGAGAGTGAAGTTCAATGACTTAATCTTGACTAGTCTAGAGACACGGTGTGTCCAATCTGTGTCTGTAGAAGACACCCTCTACCTTATGATTTTGCTTTGTGTGTCTAAGGGTAGCGCCGCCCGCTTTTTTGCCGACTTTGCTTGTCGTTGCATTTACTGGACAGCACTTTCACTTTACCCACTGTTCTGTTGAGTCAGAAGTTTGTCTGTTTGTTAATTTTGCCACTGAAAACCGTTTGCTTGCGATCATTGCGATTAGTGATGTCGGCGTCTCAATGAAAAACTCTGAGCATTTCTGAACAGTTGGAGCTCATCGACGATGTTAAAGTGAAGAAGCTCAAACTGGCCGCTGCAGCCAAAAAGTACGGAATCGGTTATTCAACAGCAGCAAAAATTCTCAAGAAAGAAGACGATCTCAGATCTTGCATGCAAATGAATGGAAACACTAATCGCAAACGAAAGCGCCAATCCGTGCACAAGGACGTTAACGAAGCGCTTACACAATGGTTTACGCAAGCATGTGCTCATGTTGATTCTGAACCGAGCAATGGCTGGCTCATGCGCTGGAAGCAGGCCAATAACGTTTCGTTCAAAAAATTTCACGGCGAATCAATGTCAGCAGATCACGGTTCTGCCAATTAATGGGTGACAAACGTTTTGCCGCAACATTTTCGTGGATATGATCCAAAAGATGTTTGGAACTGTGATGAAACGGGAATTTTCTACAAAGCCATGCCGTCTGGATCTTTGCGATTTGCCGGCGACGAACAGTCAAATGGGACAAAAGTTCCCAAAGACAGACTCACGATGCTTCAGTTCGCAAACATGGACGGCAGTGAAAAGCAAGCTGTAGTTGTTGGTAAGTCGGCAAAACCACGGCAAACAGATTTTGACAAATTTATCAGCTTCGACGACTGTACACAATGTTATGGAGAACTGACTGACACGAACATCACACGTGGTATAAAATCGGATGATCAAGATTTTGACGAAGATGATGATGCTGAAAGCGTAAGTTCTGAAGTTTCTGAAAGTGACAAACCAGTGCCAAATTCTATGGCTGCATTGAATGCACTTGAAACTCTGACAGCCTACTTTGAAGCAAAAAGCAGTAATCCTGATGGCGCATTGAAAATGATTTACGGACTGTATGAAAGTGTTCATGATGTTAACAAAGAGATTTCTGTACAATCAAAAATGACTGACTTTTTTAAGAAAAAGTAATTTTTGATTGAATTATTTTGAAAACTGATTGAAAATGTATTTTTTTTTTTGTCTGTATTTTTTTATGTCTATAACTGTTAAATAAACTAGTGTTCTGTACGTAAAAAGCGTTATATGAAGTGTTCCCATACTTACCTAAACAAAATAGACCAAAGAGAAACCCGGATATAAGAGACTTCTTCTTCGGTCCCGACAACTCTCTTATATCCGGGTTACACTGTACTAATAATTTTGTATTTTAAAATGTCCGCTTATTCAACAAATATGAAAAGCAAAGAAATAGTTTTTAACTGTTGCAGCAGATATTGAACTCGTCGTGCCTTTCAGTTTACAAAGCCGACATGATAACCACTATAACACGAATACTGCATACGCTCGCTAAATGATTTACAATCCATATGTTTGTTTTTTTATTATTATTTTTAGGTGTGGAAAGATGGCGCTGTCCAGATCTTCTATTCGGCTGGCGTTGGTGTCGGCGGAATATCAACCTTGGCCAGTTATAATAATTTCAATAATAATTGTCAAAGGTACCGAGAACATTTCTTTTCTCATAAATTCATTTTCTCCATCAAAATATTATTAAGTTGAATTACAAAAAAATTCCGCTTTCGGTGATCAATTTTCTTATTTGAAATGATTTGTTGTCGCTTATCTGGCGCAGATCTCGAGGATTGTGAGTAAATTCCACAGATTTTGATGTGAAAATTCTTCGACGAAATCTTGAATCTGGTTTTCATGAGAGAAAGATTTTCCCGCATCATAACATTTTGCAACGATCGAAAAAAGTAATAATTGGTTGGTGCAAGGCCATGCGAATAGGGTAGATGGGGTAGAACAGACCAACTGCGTTCCAAAATTGTTTCTTGTGTTATTCTTTCTGTAAGCGGTCTTGCCTCTTCATGGAAGACAACAAACTTTTTCCTGTTGTTAAGCGCAGGGCGCTTTTTTTTTCTTTTTTTTTTTTTACCAAATTCTTATGGACACATTGCAGATGATGAACGTATAAATGTGCAGTTAGTGTTTCATTGTGTATTACAAACCCTTAATGGATAATAATTCGATGATTCCACTACAAGCACAACATTACCTTTCTTCCATGTAGATTAGCATTTGGGGTCGGTTGTGGATACTTATGTTAGTCAATCAACTGCATTGAACATTGTCGTATACAACACAATTTTCATTGTTGTTATGAATTATTTAAGGAACGGTTTCTTAGGATGATACAATTCTCATTCCAATTGGTTCCTCTCAACGGAATTTTTTTAGACTCAACCAAATAAATTTCAATTGTTTATAAACCGACTTATTAAAACGAATCTGCAAAATCCGAACCGTGATTTGGGAACAAATTAAAGAATTCTCAGATTCTACAACTTTCGACGTTTAGAAAAAGATTAGACATACATTTATTTGTTAATCGTATAATCCGAGGGCTTGAGTGTGCTGGCCGTGTTCAAATTGTTTATGACGCTAGATGACACGCTCTTTCCCAGAAACTGTAACTAAGGTCTGCTCAGCATAGTTGCAGTATAAACCACAGGTTGGCTCTGTGGGTGTTGAACAAACACAAATGTGCATGAGCGAGCGCCTGCGACAAGGATTAGCTAGCCGCCTGCCTTAGTAGACGGGTACCGTCGAATACGAGTGGCCAGCTATACAATCTTCGTTGGCAATTAAAATCCGTTCTTTTTTAAAGTGCCTTCAAAACATACCACGGGTTGAACTAAGTCTTGTGAGTGAAATTGGGTAGATGGAACACAAGTCATCGTGGCCGAGGGCTTGAGCGTGCTGGACTTGTTCAAATTGTTGATAGTGCTAGATAGCACGCTCTTTCCCAGAAACTGTAACTAAGGTCTGCTCAGCATAGTTGCAATATAAACCACAGGTGGACTCTGTGGGTGTTGAATAAGCACATGCACCTGAACAAGCTTCGGCAATAAGGATTGGCTATCTGCCCTAGTAGACGGGTAACCTCGAATACGAGTGGCCAGCTATTCTAATCCTATAATAATCATTTTTAATACAACCATTTAAAAGCATTAGTAAACATAAATAGTTCTTGATTATTTTAACTAAAAACGCCTAATGTCATCTGACGACAAATATAAAGATACAGAAGAACCTCAGTTGTCGAACGTCTCACATGTCGAACAAATCGGTTTTCGAACGGAAAATTCGAGATGAAAATGCCTCGGTTATCGAACAATATTTCGGTTTTCGAACAACATTGCCGAACCGATTTAACACCAACGGAATAATTTCTGAGTCGAACGCCGTGTTGTATACATTCGTGTGTTGTGCCGTGGTTTTCTTTTCCAATTTTATTCTACTGTGACTTTTTGTTCTCTACATTGATTTCTATTGGGAAAATAGTTTCGGTTTACGAATATTTCAGGTTACGAACGGCCTTCGGAAACGAATTAAATTCGTGAACCGAGGTTCCGCTGTATATATTTTGGGGCTACATAATATTATTCTATTGTTCTTTTCAGGGATGCTTTTATCTTCCCATTAATTGATGGACTAACAAGTTGGTTTGCAGGTCTAACTACATTTTGCATTCTTGGTTACATGGCTCATATTAGTAATACAGACATCAGTAACGTTGTTACTCAAGGTAAGAAAGTTTATTTAATAACACAGCAATTAAAGTTCGACCAATATAAGGCTTAAAACGGTTACTGAGAAATGCTTATTCGCAGTTGTTGTTCTGAATGAAGTGTTGGTAAAAAATGAAGATTCCGATCATTTCGGACATAAAGAATGCCATAAATACGAGGCGTCTTTTTAAAAACATTTCACATAAAGCAAAAAAAATAAAAGCCGCTAAAAATGCAAGAGTGTTATTGAGAATGAAAGAAACAAGACAATAATAGAATTAACGAAACAAAAGACGACAATTGAGATTGCATTTAAATTTTTGAAGATCGTAGTTGACAGGAAAGCAAGAAAATAGAAGAGATGTCCACAAGCGAGAAAGGCGAAAGAAGAAACTATCAGCATAGAACTTACGGTGGAGTTTTGCAACCAGAATTTTTTAATTTTTCAAAACTTTTGAATTTGGCATAAATTTTATTAAAATATATATAATTCTGTTCTACAATATTTGACAGCATTAAAAATGTTTAAAACAACTTCCGCTTAGCAGATTTTGGGGCTCCAGAAATGGCTTGTTTTGAAGACTTTGGATAAAAGAGGTACAGCATCCAAAATAATTGGAAGATATCACCAAACTGTAAAATGATTTGTTGCAGCTCCTATGAAGTAACCTAAGAGGGCCGATAAGGGTCACTCGAGCATTAAAAATGTTTAAAACAACTTCCGCTTAGCAGGTTTTCGGGCTCCAGAAATGACTTGGTTTGAAGACGTTTGGATAAAAAAGAAGCAGCATATACACTGCGTTTCAAATTATTAATTTAGTTTTTCATTTTGACCAAAAACTACCAAATTTTCGGAATTTTCATAGTATAACGCGAATAGGTATATGCGCAAGCTCTATAAAAACTGTATTGTTCTGCGCAACAGGAAATAAACGCTGGCCATTTGCAATATTAACACGATATAGAAGTGTTCCAGACTATCAACGAATGTCGATATAATCGTGTAATTATGGGTCGCAAATGTGATTTGATCCCTTCTGAGAAAAATATTATAACATCTGAACTTTCCAAAGGCAAATCTACTCTATAAATATCCAAAATAATTGGACGATATCACCACATTGTGAAAAGATTTGTTGCAACTCCTACGAAGGAATGAAACAGGGACGATAAGGGTCACTCGAGGGTTGTTTCCTGAGGTTCTTTGTCACGGATGAAACGTGAAGCTGTAAATTACCAAGGCCTGACCAATGGAGCACTTTTCTGGAGCATTGGAGAAGCAACAGTGTTCAGAAGTATTCGCTATCGTCTTCTGAAAAAAGTCAGGACATCACTAAGACCAGTGACAAAACTGCGATTGACAAAAGTATACATACAAATGTATTTAAAATGGTCTAAGGAGAACATGAAGGTCGATTTCTCGAGAGTTCTGTTCACAGGTGAAAGTCGTGCAATACATGATGGTCCTGATGGTTGGAGCAAAGTTTGGGTCGTAAATAGACGAGATCGTCATCAACGCTTGACACGCCAACAAGTAGGAGAAGGTATTATGATTTGCGCTGGTATTATTGGAGGCATCATGGAGTGCCTGACGCTACGAAATTAACCGCAGATGCTTATATAGACTTCCTCAAAGAGTGCCTGGAATCTTGGCTAAAAAAGCAAAGAATTACCTTCAGGAGAACGATCGGATTTATGCAAGATAAGGTTCTTCGCATTCAGCGCATAAAGCTACGGAGTATTTGCAGAAATTATGCTTCTGTAGACCTCGGAAGATGAACTGACCGGTCAATTTTCCAGATTAACCCAATTGAAAAACTTGTTGAGCATTCCGAAGCGACATGTTTATAAGAACGAACGTCAATTTAGAAGCAAGGATGACATATGGCGGCAAATAGTCAACGTATCAAGTGAAATTACATCAGAGGAGATCCAGAAATTGATATGTTCAATGGACCAGCGCCTTTTCCAAGACATTTTAAAAAAAGGATCACATATCTCATATTAACCAAATCCACCATCCTTTTTGAACTCTGTTTACTTTTTTATTTCGATTTAATTTCATCTTAGTTACCATAAAAAAATGAAAATGTAGCAATTAAAGTGTTATTTTCTTTTTTTACAGGGTTTTACACCTCGCTAATAATTTGATACACTAATAATTTAAGTAAATTAGGTAAATGACTGTAACTTCTGTTTCTTTGTCTAGAACCTTACAATTTTTACAGAGAAGGTGTATATACATATTGTTATCATTTTCTGATAATTTCGTTAAATTCCATCCAGTAGCTTTTGGATATGATAGCAAAATGTCGCCACGTTAGTAATTTGAAACGCTGTGTATATTTACGAAGGGATATTAGAAATTTCCCAGACGACCGTTAGTGCTGTGAGGTTTAGCGTCCATTTTAAATGTTCCCACAGTTAACGTTCATTGATTCTTGGTCTACTGAGACAATAGGCTTCGTGTTAGATGCAATTTTGTCATTTTGATTCTCTTTTGCGGATGTTTTAAAGGCTCTGCAATCTTTACGATAACTGGAAAATTCCTGTCTGCATCAGATATTGCGTGAAGCGGAGCAAATCTTCTGCTGTTTCATCAGGTTTTTCGACAGCATTCTTTAGGTCGAATACGATTTTATGAGTGGCATATGCGTTGAGTGTCATTTCAAGATGAGCATTCAGGGAAAACAATTACCAGCAAAATAAATAAGCCCAAATTTATCTTACCCATTCTGTGATTTATCTGTGTTCCCCAAAATGAAATTGTAGCTGAAAGGTTTGCAACCCGAAATTCAGATGGAATTCAAAGAGAATGGCAGGCGCTATTGGAAGTACTCTATAAGAAGAGAATTTTTAGGGTGCAAAAGAGGTGACGGGATTTTTAGGCAGGTTCCCGAGAGAACAAAAGGTATTAAATTGAAATAATATATGAAACTGAGCTGGAACACGCGTTCGTAGAATTTTTTTCAGTAGTTAGCGTGTCATTTCACAAATGACTGAAAATTATGAAGTACAGTAGAATCCCTCATATCCGGAATCCCTCTTATCCGGAGTGCCTCATACCCGGAATCCCTCATATCCGAAGTGCCTCATATCCGGACTCCCGCATATCCGGACATGACTTTGATGTGTATATTTGAACTATTTGGGTGATATATAACTGATTTGAAATTTCTGTTTTTCAGAAAATTTACTTTGGATAATTGCTTTTGCTTATTTCACCCTAATGACTTGTATTGGTGCAAAAGATGATGGGAATGAGAGAAAAAGAACAACTTTGGGGTTATTGCAAAAAGTGGAAATTTTAAACAGACTAGACGCTGGTGAAAGTTCATTGTAACTAATGGCTGAGTTCAACACAGGAAAGTCAACATTGTATGATATAAAATCTTCCAAAGAAACTATTCTGCAGTGTTCACATTGTCACAATGAACAAGGAAAAAAAAACATGATTGTAATGGAACCTGGACTGAAATTGAAAAAGCTATTGAAAACATTGTCAGTTTTATGGAAAGAAAGACAGCATTCAGCTATGACGATTGCAATAACGCACGCAGAGTTAAAAAGTTTCGTTTAAAAAATTTGAAGAATAAACCAATCAAAATGCGGAAAAAGTTGAGAATGACATTAGAAGAGAAAGAATGATCATACAACAGCGATTAAAAAATCCTTGTTACATTATTTGTTTTGGCATACTTAATTTAATGAATTTTCATTAACATTACATAATTTTTTTTCTCCTTAAAATCAATTCAGTTATATTTCACTCACCATTAGCTTATTTTGTTTACTATAAAACATTGAAAATAAATGTTAACCCTGATTTCAGTTCTTTTATTTTAATCTAAACATAAACCCTCATATCCGGACTTTGTAACCAATTCCTCATATACGGAAGGCCTTCTTATGTTGTCAAGGATTCTACTGTATATATTATGAAGGATGATATTTCAACGACTATTTCTAAACGTTTCATGTGTGGTTCCTGAATTTTAAATGACGGTAAAAGTAAAAATGAACAAAAATCAGATGTGATTTTGTGATTTGATACATTTTTGCAGAATGGAACAAAAACAAACAACAAAAAGATTTGCGTCATTCATGGAGATAGTGCCATAGCTGCTCGTAAGTAGTTTGCTCGGTTCAGAAGTGGAAATTTTGATCTGGAAGACGAAGAATGTTCCGGCATGCCTGTCATTGCAATCAAATCGAAAAAATGTCACACGACACGGGATATCGCAGAGATACTCCACATATGAACGTTGCAAGGTATTTGAAAACACTTGCATAAGTGAATCGTAACGATTTAATGGAAATAATAATTAATTGCCGTCATTTCCATCTGTTAATTTCTGATCAAACGCTACGAAAAACGATTCACTTTTGAAAAGAATAATCGCAAACGATGAAAAATGGATTGTTTACAACAATGTGAAGCGAGAAAGCCTCTGGCGAAAACGGGATTAGCCACGTCTCTTCATATATCTGGCAGAAATTGGTACAGTTCGTCTAGGATATCTTGCTATACCTATCAGAATCACATGAACTTGCACCTTCCGATTAGCACTTCGATCTCTACAAAATTCTCTTAATGGGAAAAACTGAAATTCTCTGAAAGCCCGTGCAAACCATTTAGACTAGTTCATCATCCAGAAAGATGCCAAGTTCTGGGAGGCAGAATGGAATCATGAAGCTGATTTTAAAATGGCGTAATGTAGTGGAACAAAATGAGAGATATGTTGTTGAAGAAATCTATGTACAAATATCCAAATATTGTCTTTGAAGTTCGCTGTAAAAGTGCCCCGGAACTTTTGATCCTACTCAATATTTACTCTTGCAATAGTCTACATTTTTAGACCTAGTCCGGGATCTTTCCGATACCAAATCATAGATATTTGTATAATAAATAATCTATTGAATAATTAAATGTCTTTTTAAAGGTCCTGGCGTTGCTTTTGTTGTTTATCCTGAAGCTTTATCTACACTTCCATTTGCTCAACTTTGGTCTTCTCTGTTTTTTCTCATGTTGTTCATGGTTGGAATGGACAGTCAGGTAAGGCGAAAACAAATCTGATAATTATTATGTCGTAATATTATTGTTAATTAATATCCTAAAATTTGCACTAAATAATATATTAGTTTTTTTTTATCATTTCACCCCAATGAAGGTGGGAATGCCACTAGTACACAGGAGGTTTCAGAAAGTGAAACAAAAGACTGAGTATAGGGAGAATTGAGGAAAGGACAAAAGATGAACGGAATTCAGGAAGACAGAAGATGCCGATTGACATTGCATTTAATTTTTTGAAGATTGTAGTTATTAGAGAAGCAAGTAAACGGAAGGGATTTCCACAGGCGGGAAGTGCGAGAAAAGAAACTGTTGGAGTATAAATCTATTTCCATACCTGATGATGTCTGTATGAACAGACGAAAGCTTGTAAAAAACTAAAAAAGACCTTATGCAACTGGAATTTATAAACAGGGATCATAACATTCATATACAGGTTCGGGGTTAATGTACTTTATTAAATTTGTTTGCGAAGATGTATTCTCGCCATTTAAATCATTAACTTCTATATCCGTTTTTTGTATAAATGATTCATGTAATATATATATATATATATATATATATATATATATATATATATATAGTTCGACCTGGAATCTCGACTTTAGTATCCAATAAGTGCGGTCCGATGAACCAATCGTGCATGGATTGATGATTTATTACTGTAAAATACAATAATTGTGGCAACAGGGCAGAAGGAAAAAATGGAGTGAGTGTGGTCATATTTAACTACCTTATATCTCGTTGATCAGATTCACGACCACATCCATTCATTACAATTAACAACACATTCACCAAAAAAGACACCATTCACTACTACATATCCCACAATACTCGTGCACGGACTGAGTGGTCCTCAACTAAAAACTCCGACAGTTGGATCTTAAGTAGGCGGGAACGTATTGCACAATATGGGTTTCCAATCTTTGATTGGTCCGTTCTATGTACACAGTATCGTATTGGTATTTATATTTGTATACCACGGAACTATTTTAAAAATAGGTCAACCGATCTCTATTAACGGAAGGAAACTCGGATTTATTCTGAAAGACAGTACGAAAATTAACCCTATTATTTGCACGAAGTAATGTAAGCCTATCAGCAAGCAACTGACACTTCCTGCCTAACCATGGCAATTTAAGGTCAATTGGCACCGGCTGGGTCCTAAATCTAATCCTAAAACTATATTTATGACTTTATTCTCCTTAATTTGATATTTACTTCTATAATCACATATTTTAATTATTAATTATGTTCATATTTATATATATTTATTATATATTTTATTTTATTTTTCTTATCTTTACACCGATAAATATTTAATATTTTTTATATATTTTTTATAATTAGTTATTTTATTTATTATTTTTTTATAATTAGTTATTAAATTTTTTATACTTATTTATATAAAGTTACCCACCTTAATTCGTTATCCCTTTAAGTTTAACAAATTTTTTAAAAAACATTTCGGCGTCAAAAGTTTAGGCACAGCATTGACCGTTGTTATCGACAAGGAATCTTTCCAGACTGGCCATCATTTAACACCTCAGCCATCCTTCACCAAACTGCTATCAACAAGCACTATTGATTCACTCCGCCATCTTTTTGCTTTATGTATATATTTTCTCAAACAAATGGAAAAGAGAAAGTGATGTTTCACATACGGCTTGCTTACAAGCAGAATTGTCCATAACCATTTTTGGTTTCCACCATTCGAGGTGCAATTGAAATGCACCGAAACGAATTTGCATCTTTGTAGTGAGTAAACTATTTTTGTCTATATGATAAAATAATAATAAATAATTAATTTCTACTACCAGTATCGTGAAATCTTTTGAATTAATGCTGTGAACGTTAGATTTTATATATTAAAAAAACTGCATTTATATATATATATATATATATATATATATATATATATATATATATATATGTATGTATGATTTTTAAGTTCAATTAAATATAATTTAAAAAATATTTACAAAAAACAGATATTTTTTTGTTAATTATTTAAATGGTATTTGAATGATATGAGTATATTTATAAAAGACTTTATTTTTTGGAATTTATAAACAGGGATCAGATCATGTATATAGGTTGATGGGTTAGAAAATTTTATAAAATTGTTTATGAAGATTTATTCTCGCCATTTAAATCAAATTTTCTTATCTGTTTTTTTGTATGAAGAAAGAAAATAATATATATATATATATATATATATATATATATATATATATATATATATATATATATATAAATACTTGGTTGGTAACGCAAAAAAACGTATAATGCAGTTTGTAATAAAAAATATATTTGAACAAATCGATATCAGGAAAAAATCAGTAAAAAAGAAAAGACTAAAGTCATCCGTGTTGGTCGAAAATAATCAAGCAGCACCGCAATGCCTGGTCAAAAGAAACAAACACCGACCGAGTAAATTAAGTAAAAACGTAAAAGTGATCAATACACTAAGTACAGCAAAACCTACCCTCTTTAGCCAGTAGTACACTGAGGACTCGTTAGGTGAATTTTTTTGCTAGGTAGGTTCTGGCTCATTTTATATATATATATATATATATATATATATATATATATATATTGATAATATAGTGGTCAAACAATATAATATATATATATATATATATATATATATATATATATATATATATATATATAAATTTCCCAGAGGATAGAATCTAGGTAGAGCTCAATGTCCAGGACAGAGCAATAAACGGTTCAAACATTAATATTCCATGGTTATAATTTATTGTAGCGGAATTGTAATCACGATCCAATTCATCAGACCTACAAATTCCAAAAGAAACTGATGAATTGGATCATGATTACGATTACAATATAATAAATTATAACCATGGAATATTAGTGTTTGAGCTTTATATATAAACACAAGTTCCGAAAGTAATATATGTGTGTGTATGTGTGTGAGAGAGAGAGAGAGACTTTTCAGCACCCCATTGTACAGAGTTAACAATTTTTTAGAGTCCTGAAAAATCTGTGAAATGCTTTAGACAAATTTTCTCTAAGTTACTTAAACTGATTGCAATAAAAAAACATTTGAAATAGGGCTGAATAAATAAAATTAAAAAAATATTTTCTTTGTTCTTTTTTTTTTCAGTTTGTTCATGTGCAGACTCTTGTCACAGCTCTCACTGATATATTTCCAAACCAACTTCGAAACAGAAAAATGCTTATAACGGCAATAACATGCGTTATAACTTTTCTCCTCGGAATTCCTTGTGTTACTCAGGTTTGTGGATCAATCAACATTTCCGACATTATTCTCATTTCAGATAAATGGATTTTTCACCTCTTGCCCGATATTGTTTAACCATTTTTATTACAACTCAATTCATGCAGTCACTATGTTTGGTTTAACTACTCTAAGGGTAATGGTAATAAGTGTGTTTCATTAAGAGGGATTATTATAAGGGTGTGTCATTAAGACGGATTATATATAAGGGTGTTTCATTAAGAGGAGTTATATATAAGGGTGTGTCATTAAGTATGATTATATATAAGGGTGTGTCATTAAGACGGATCAATGTCAACAGTAAAAAAAATCAATGTTATTGGTAAAAATTTATTTATTTCTCTATAGGATCTTATTATTTAAGTCATGGCAATTAAGTATGAAAAATAATATCGCCCAAATATCCACCAAATCTGAAAGAGAAAGAAAAAAATCATTAGCCACTTAAACTTAATTCACATTAAAATTGGTCCAAGTTATGGGAACACCCTTTACAATTGTTATATCTGTGTTCAAATATTTTGCCTAATTTTAGTAATATTTTCAACAGCCCTCTTGAACGTTTGATTATCTCCGTGAAGCTTCATTGATGTATCCAATGGAGACATTCATTCCCTCATTAACTTGTTATTTTCTGTTTTTCAGCATTTATTAAATCCTTTTCATTAATCATGTTTCAACATATAAAGGGTGTTTGATTAAGACGGATTATATAAAAGGGTGTTTCATTAAGACGGATCAAAATCAGCAGTAAATAAATCAGTGTTATTTATGAAAAGTTATTTATATCGCTATTGGATCATGTTATTTAAATCATGGCAATTATGTGTGAAAAATAATATCGCCCAAATGGCCGCCAAATCTGAAAGAAAAAGAAAAAAATCATTAGACGCTTAAACTTAATTCACATTAAAATTGGTCTAATTATTGGAACATCCTTTATTAGTCGTTTCCTTATAAGGAAATATTTGGCATTCATTGACCGAGAAGCCAGTACTGTTTTCAGTTGAAATTTATAATTTTTTTCTCTTAAAATATTTTTTTAGAAAAACAGGTTTCTCAAATCCGTTAGCTGTTATCGCTCTTTCCAGTACTGATGGAGGTTTCCTCCCTATTCTTTTATTTAAAGTAGTGCGAAATGTTAACATCTTGTTTACATTATTTACATTGTTCGGACTGTTTTCCTCATCCTTATTGCCATATTCATGACGTTTCGGCCGTTGAATGTCCCGGCCTTCTTCAGATCATTGGAATTTCGAACTGAACCCTTTATTTCGTTCACCTGGGTAGATTGTTCTAGTTTCACGTGCCATGCCTCCTCCGGATGTCTTAGTTAATAAAGAGTTCAGCTCGATATTCCAATGACCTGAAGAAAACCGGAGCATACAACGGCCGAAACGTCGTGAATATTGCAATAAAGATGAGGACAGGGACCCGAACAATGTAAATAATGTAAATAATTACAATACGTCATCTCAAAAATATAAACAGTTACCATCTTGATTATGACATTATTTTGTCTTCGAATTACACGTGCTATCCGTTTTAGTCATTGTCGCTGTTGGAAGTCTTCTGTTATTTGGTACAGTTCTTCAAATGTGATTCTCTAGCACCAGTTCACAATGTTCAAAGGAAGATGATTTTTGTCCAAGACCCTCGGGCTTTACTTTCTCAAAGCCTTGTTTTACCATTGATCATAGGAAGCGATTGTATAAAGCTCACAGTTTAAATATTTCTGAACGGCTTTTGTATGAATGACTCTAATTTTCAGGTTGATGTTTTGGTTTCATAGCAATTAGCAGTGTTGGGTGAAATTACCTCTGACTCATCCTGTTCTATGTTCAATTTTTTTCTCCTATACCTAATTTGTTATAACTGATCCTTATTCCGAGGTATTGAAGTGTTTAGCATTTACTAATTCCATAACCTGATTTTTATGATGGATTCAGGGTCGGTGCCATCACTGCTTTCATTCCATTTCTGGATAGTTTTTGTCTTGGAAAAGGTTATCTTGAGTCCCACTTTTTGAAACAATTGATAGAGGATGCTGATTTTCTGTTCAAGATCATTCTTATCCAAACTATAATTACACATTTTATCAGAATAGCCTCGCTACATTGTAACCAGGAGGGAAAGCAGGACGTTGTCAAGGCGTTCTTAAAATGCCTGTTGTACATTCGCAGAATTTTGAACTAAACACATTCGGTGGAGTTTTACAATAGACACTGCGAACAAAAATGATGTTTTTTAGCAGTCCCGATTAAGAATATTAAAATAAAATATTAAATTTTATAAAATTTAATTGGATTAATATATTTTGGCATATAAATTCATTATAAATTGACCCAGCTACAGAAACCAAAACATACCAGACGATTTCTTAAAAGGTAAAAAGATACTATAAACAATTGTGAAATATGTCATTTGGGGTTCCTTTTTTCATATATTACTATCGGTTAAGCACACCACAATAGCCAAGAATTAGAAAGGCTGTAGTCAGACAGAGTATGGAAGGAACAAAAGACTAAGTATAGAAAACAAAGAAGAGGAGGTGTTTTTTTAAATACTCATACATAGAACAGAAAAAAAAACTTGATTAAATCAACTACTCCTCAAATTATTAATTCATAATAAAAGACACAATCCTGAAATTCCCAATTCCATTAGCAATAATCAAAGTACGATCGATCGATTTATTTGATTCAAGAGAAAAAAGAAGATATACCAATGTGGGACGATTGATTTTCAGTGCAGTATTTCTCTCAACGCTATATTTCCCCAAACATCCACGATCGAATTCAATCCATAGATCACGCGCCAACATAGTCTTATCAAATCAGTAACTACAACCGCTTTAGTAGAATTCGTAGTAATATTATTCCTGATATTCTTAGAGGAAGAATTGTCAATTATCATTAACTTGTTTACCGATCGTGTCAAAAATTGACAGCGGTATTTAAGCAATTTTGTAATCGGTATGGTTATATGTTATGTCTGAGTAATTTTGTCTTTGTTCAAAATAGCCGAGAATTAGGAAGGCTGTACTTAGAGGGAGTATCGAAGGAACTGAAGACTTGATAGAGGAAAATAAAGAAGAAAAGGTTTATCAAATACTCATACATAGAACAGAAATAATTAAATAAATAAAATACTACTCAAATCCTACTCTAATGTGGCTACTTGCCATATTTCACCTGATGTAGAAGTAATGTTTGATGTTGCATTTATATATATATATATATATATATATATATATATAAGTAGTGTGTTTTGTACACTTAGAGAAAGTAGAAAACACTATTTTATGTGAAATCTTAATTTCACGACATAAAAATCCGCGTGAGTATTACATGACTAGCGTCATTACCTGGATCTGTATGTACACATAATTTATTAAATTTTACATAAAAATACTTTCATGGTATTTATGTTATTTATATAAAACTACCTCAGGATATATGTAGAAGCTGTGTTATGATATTTAAAGAGATATCGTGTTTATACTTGGGTTCCATTTCCAAGATGCCCCATTTTATAGATGTTGTATAGAAATTAAATAGCCTATATTCCAAAATCCGAAAAAAAATCTGATAACCGAAGTACTTCCGGTCCCAAGAAATTCTGGTAAAGTATTCTTAACCTGTCATAACTTTACACTGTGATAAACGAAAGAGGAGTACAATAGCGAAATGTTCGTAATAGTTTGAATAATTTCATACGAAATTTTATATGAAAAGTACGTCTACGAAATTCAAATAATATTGCAAAGTCCTTATTCATGCTTTTTGAGATTTTGTGTTTCACACATGCTGAAATTCTATATTCTAGGGCGGAGTTTATATCGTACAAATCCTCGACTGGTACTGTGCGAGTTTATCACTTTTATTTTTGGCCTTTATGGAAGCTTGTGGGGTTTGTTATATTTATGGTAAGAAAATTAACATTTTACTTATTTGTAATTGTTTTTGTTTTTTTATTTATCAGTATCACCCCAGACACGCAAGGGGTTACAGGGTGTAGAAGGATTAGGAACAGAAACATTAGTAATAAGGAGAAAGAGAAAAGTGCAACAAGGAAGACAGTCTATAACGATTGACATTGCATTTAAATTTTTAAAAGATTAAAGTTGGCTGGAAAGCATGGAGCCGGAAGAGAGTTCCACAAACGAGAAGTGCGAGATAAGAAACTGTTAACATAGAACATACGGTTACATCTAGCCAGCTCAAATGTAAATTGATGAGATCTTGACGCCAGTCTAGCCAGTCAGTTATCTTTCGATACATGGCTGACGAGGCAAATTTTTTCCCCCAGTAGGTTGCCATTTCTTTCTGTGGTAGACCAGTTGCCATCCAAAGCTATAGAACCCGGTTCTTTCCTGCTATACGATTTGAGTGAGGGATTGGGCAATGGAAAAATTTAATATTTGCATACAGACAACACCAGTATCTTTAGAATATTTCAGTGTCGTGGTAAGCATTAAAGATTAATTTCACCGATTAAAAACAAAAGAAAAAATACAAAAGAAATAGAAACCAAAGACAAAGCAAATACATTCATACTTCCATGTCTATTGAACAGGAGGGTTCATCCCTTGTTCCCTGTTTAGGATATGGCTTACTGGTTATCTTTCTTTCTCTTATGAGGGTCAGAATGTCTTAATTCTTTGGTAATCAGACTAACCAGTGGCTGAGACCTTCCATTATGAGAGTATCGGGTTGGCAGTTTGCTGGCTGCTGCTTCCAACTGGTCGATAGGAGCCTAAACTCTCTGGTAGCGCTTTAAAAAGTTGCTCCTATAGATAGTCGCACAATTTCGGGGTATCTGTAGTGCCATGTCGCGCGTGGGTAGGTGACCCTACATGCATTTTCGGTGAGTAACTCTGAGGCCACATTATGCTCTGCTCTCAGTTACGCACTAACTGGTTTGTATTACCATCGACGACACATTGTGATAATTATAGTGGTATTTTTTTTCTCATCAAAACATGGAAATCACAAGAAGAAATAAAACTAAACCAGCTAACAAAAAACACCTACCCCGACCCTCAATCTGTCTTTCTCCAATATTCATGGTATCCGTTCCAAATTCTGCAGCGTAGAATCTTTTCTCCTGGCAAAGTTGCCAGATATCATTGGCTTTTGTGAAACCAACTTGAATTCTTCCATTGCCAGCAATGAATTCTTGGTTCCAGAGTATCTTCCTGTTTGCCGAAAAGATTCCAGCATTCACAAGCATGGCCTTAATGTTTACATCCGAATTATCTTTCTCGAATATTCAAGGGGGTAGACGAAAATAAAAAAATATACTCTTTAGTATACAAACTGAGTATCTACTCAAATACGAGTATCCACTAAAAATAACGTTTAAATAATAAAAATTTAGGTTAATTTACAGTGTAGCACACGCACTCAATTCGCATTAAAAATTTCCAGAGTACTTACATTTATGTGTAATTATTCATGCTCCATTCGAATCTTGCTTGATAAATTTGATAAAATCTACCGTTTTGGAGTTATCGACAGTGAAATTTGGGATTTAATCGCGTCGTTGGCGGCAGCCATTACTCGCGTTGTTTGCATACATTCGCTGCGGAAAGCTAAACGCGGAAGACTACGGAAACCTAATCTCGGAACTGATCTTTCTTGTCTAAATTTGCCTCAATTACTGCGCACGTGAACTATTTACGTACATACGCTCAGTTTGTGCAATGATACCTACACTGATAGCAATTCTTCAGCGAATGTATACAAACAACGTCAGTAATGGCTGCCTGCGACGCGAAGGAATCCGAAATTTCAATGACGATAACTCCAAAACGATAGATTTTATCAAATTTATCAAGCCAGATTCGAATGGAGCTCGTACAATTACACATAAATGCAGGTTGTCTGGAAATTTTTAATGCGAACTGAGTGAATTAACCAAAATCTGTCGGTTTAATAAATAAAAAAAACATTTCTTTCTTTAGAAATATATATATATATGTGTGTGTGTGTGTATGTGTGTGTGTTACATAGCAAAAAAAAAACAAAACAAAATTACTTCATGCAGGTATAGCCTATTTAATTATAGAATTTTTGCTGTGTAATATATATGCCCTGTTATAATAAATGAATTGAGCTAAATTTTGTGGATCAGTTTTAATATTTGATATTACTAGGATCCACCTGGATTTATGCCAACGTATCTGTTACCTATATATATATATATATATATATATATATATATATATATATATACACGCACACACACACATATATATATATATATATATATATATATATAATATATATATTAGATAGATAGATAGATAGATGCTTAAATGTCTGTTTTTTTCTAAGTATAAACGCCAATTTTCTCTTTTAAAATTATAATTTTTCAGGTGTTTCACGATTATTCGACGACATAACACTGATGTTAGGCTACAAACCATTGGCCATCTGGAAACCACTCTGTAAATATGTGGCTCCAGTCTCCGCCTTTGTAAGTTATTTCTATTATTCTTATTCTATATTCCTACCATTCTTATTCTATATTTCTATTTTTCTTATTCTATATTTCTACCATTCTTATTCTATATTTCTACCATTATCATTCTATATTTCTACCATTCTTATTCTATATTTCTACTATTCTTATCTAGTATTCTTCTGTTTGCTCAGATGTGTGGCTATTATGTTTATGTCTATTTACTGTTAAAGTCTCTCACTGGCTGGATCATTTATTCTTTCTGACGGAGACGTGGATGTGCGAGTGGTGTAATGGATAGCCTCTTGAAATGAAAAATCAGAGAGCCGAGTTTCAATTCCAGTCGAATTCGTTACGTTCACTTACGCACAAATATCTTTAAGAATGTTTTGAATTCGCCCACTCCTCTTGGATTAAAAAATAAGGACTTTATCTAGAAAAGTCATTTTTATTCTAAAAAAAAACATTCTTATAATCCAATACATGTTTCGGTACTGAATAACCAAGAAAGTGTTGCTAAACGGTAAATCAATTCTGTCTAAGAAACCTACATATCTGTTATGGGATCTTACCCATAATAATAATAATAATAATGGACTATTCCATACTTAATAAATACTGCGCCTCAGGAGTAGGCAAGGAGTCAAGTAGAGTCAGGAATTCAAGTCGAGTCAAGAGTCGAGTCAGTGGCAGTCCGAGGCAGAGTCACGTTCAGACATTTACTGCAAGACATTGGAATAGTGATACTGGTCGAGACTACATTGTTCTCTCTACTAAACCTGATTGTTCATACTAACACTTCTACTTCTCTGTATATATTCCTGTTTGTAATATATCTGTGTTATTCCATGTACGTGTTCGAGTTCTTCTTTATTGGTTCTAACTTAGACTATCACCATGGTACAAGGAATCGGACCGTAACAATATCTATACTATTATTCTGCTTTTGATTAATAACAACTGTAACACTTTTCTTCCGATTATCGGAGTGTAGTATCTTCACGATCCCTGACCTTTCTAAACTGGAATCCGTTACACTTTCTGACCGAGAAACCTGAAAAATAATATTAAACAGGAAGGTATTTGGAAAATCAAGGGAAAGAAGGATAGAACAAAGAAGTTGAGAAGAGAGGATGGTAAGAGATTAATAATAAATCTCGAGAAAAAACTAAAACAAAACCAGATAGAAAAAATATATTTGTACCTATTCAAAGAATCAACAAAAGATCAATCGACATATCTGTTTGATAGGCTTCAGATAATTTCAGTCCATTTATCGAACATCTGGGCCTAAAGAGCGACAGTGCCAGATGTTAGATAAATTCATTGAATTTTTTTATCACATCTCATATCTATACTTCTCGCAAGAAATACTAATCATAAATTTCAATTTTTTACCATGGTAGAACTTCGGTAAAAATACAACAATTTTCAAATTTAAAAAGATTTTTTTTTTAAATATCTGACTACCTATCTATCTGTCTATATATCTATCTATCTATTTATACTTTCAAATTTAAAAAGTTTTATTTTTTTTAATATCTATCCATCCATCTATCTATCTATCTATCTATACTTCCTGCAAGAAATACTAATAATAAATTTCAAATTTTTACCATGGTAGAACTTCGGTAAAAATACAACAATTTTCAAATTTAAAAAGATTTTTTTTAAATATCTGACTACCTATCTATCTATCTATTTATACTTTCAAATTTAAAAAGTTTTTTTTTAATATCTATCTATCTATCTATCTATCTATCTATCTATCTATCTATACTTCCTGCAAGAAATACTAATCATAAATTTCAAATTTTTACCATGGTAGAACTTCGGTAAAAATACAACAATTTTCAAATTTAAAAAGATTTTTTTAAAAATATCTGACTACCTAACTATCTGTCTATGTATCTATCTATTTATACTTTCAAATTTAAAAAGTTTTTTTTTTTTTAATATCTATCTATCTATACTTCCTGCAAGAAATACTAATCTTAAATTTCAAATTTTTACCATGGTAGAACTTCGGTAAAAATACAACTTTCAAATTTAAAAAAGTCTTTTTTAAATATCTATCTATCTATCTATCTATCTATCTATCTATGCATGTATATGTGTGTGTATATATACTAAACTATACATATATTCACATATATACATGTTTGTTTATTTTTTCTGATAAATACAAAGAAGGGATCTGATAATAATTGTAATAGATTTATCGAATTAAGTGGCCGTGAAGAGCGTCTCAACACCAATCTCCTGAGTTGGTTAATCAGTTAAGTGCATTGAAATTTTCTTGATTTTTTGAAAATTAAGGCCTTAGTTACCTATTGAGCGCTTTTGGCAGAAGTTCTGCTAGCCTGCAAAATACGTTAAATACAAGAATTTAACATTTTCAGGTCAGCTGAATTTTCCTGTATATTTGTTTAGTTGAATTATTATACAAAATGATTGATGTAACTCTTCCAATATTTTTCAACACTTAAGCGAAGAGCACGATTTAAGAAAAGAAAAAGAAACGAAAAAAAAAATGTTTTAAAATGTTAAACAATATTTCGAAAGTATGTTTGTCTTCTCCAAGTTACATTTTTTTTAATTTTTCAAGTATAAAAATACATAAATCTACAAAAAATTATGAGTCTTTGTACAAACGTTGCTTGTCTACGATTTTGTCTGTAATTTCGACCAGCATCTTAAGGTGCCCATTCTGAAAAAAATATTCAGAATCTATCGGCATTTCGACCCTAAAAACGCATGAGGATAATTAGCTTATAAAGTATAATGTAATTGGTCATGATAAAACTACGAACAGGTAAGAAATACGATTAGTTTTGGATAACCAACGTAAAATCTCTCCTAAACGATGTACAGAATTAATAAACTCGAACAAACTATTCAAGGTTAAATTGAAAGAGTCCGTTTGCTGAAACAAAAATTAACAGAGTAGCATGTCGCTACGATAGTTACTAAAATGAATTAATTAAACAGTTTAGTATAAATCTTATGGAACTCTATTTACATTATTCGGACTATTGTACGCTCCGGCCTTCTTCAGGTGGTTGGAATGTCGAACTAAACCCTTTATTTCGCTCACTGGAGTAGACTGTTCTAGTTCCACGTGCCATGTTCAATGAAAGATAAAAGAGAGGTGCAGTAGAAAAGATTTGTGCATTCCTCATTTTATTTCATGCATGAAACCAATCTATATTGGAATTGAGATAAAAAAAGCAATGGGGAATGGAAAGGATGAGGAAGAGAATAAGACGATACAGGTAAAGAGAAAAGAGCAAATGCATGAAATAATGGTCAATCTTAGTTGCATTGGAAGGGATAAGGGAGAAAACGAGAAGATACGGAAAAGAGACCAGAGTAAAGAAATGAGATAACAGAAAATCTTAGTTGTCAACATCCGTGGAATTTCCACAGGCCCAGTTAGTAAAAATACTTTTTAAAATGTTTAATCCAAAAGTAAAACAAAAACAAAAATATCTTTGTTATTACCCGGTAGTAACTCTCTGAAGGCGTATTATATAAAAGAGGAGAGGGTGACAGAAGGACAATTGATTAGTTCTTCGTATAAATTATTAAAGTTTCTGTGGCCAAAATGGTTTAGGCAACATCCATGAAAAAGTGGCTCTTAAACTGTAGGATGCGCGTTTTATCATCATCGGAAGTTACCTTTTTTTCATTTCTTGTTTTGTACTTTTTGCACTAGCGGTCGAAGTATGTATCAACTTTGAGTGTAGTGATAAAAACCCTAAAAAAGAATATAGATTAAAAGTCGTTAGAAAATGCTAGCAGAAATTCTGTTAAGCAATTCTACGATTTGTATTTCAAGAGTTTTGAACAAACCCTATTTAATGACATAAAAGCAGGATAATAATTATATTTGATTTTCGAAGAATATTTTGTTTCCCAAAAGAAAAAAAAAGGTTGCTTTGCCAGCCTTCCGTCCAGCGACACTCATCAGTCGAATTCAATGGCCGATTCACGTAAAGGGCAATCGTTATGGTAGCCATTTTGAATGCTTTCATATATGTTTTGTGGCGCAGTCTGTTCTAGATGAATCTAAAATTCAATAATATTTCATTTCTACAATTTATGATTCGAATTTTCATCGGCCATCAGCAATTGCTTCATTTTTTTATTGATTCTGAATAATAAATCCCAAGGTAATATAGAAAGCAATGAAAATGATCAAATATATATATATATATATATATATATGTGTGTGTGTGTGTGTGTGTGTGTGTGTGTGCACTTTAAAAAAATTATAACTTTATTTGTATTTGTATTAGAAATAATCTGTAACAGATGTTATAAAGTTTAATGTACCTAGTTTTAAGTATAGCTAAAATAACTAATGTGATTTTAGGCATTACTGTAAATCAGTTGGCAAATGTTTTCCGTGAACTGCAAAATCGTATTACTTTTTCTATTGCTAATTATGGAGGACATGTGGAAACTTAAATAAAATTTCAATAAAACCTTAAAAATATATAGATTTACTTCTTTCTAATCCTTTTTACAAATTATTTCTATCGCAAATATAAATAAAATTATAATTTTTTTAAAGTGCACACGAACTTTATGGACACCCTGTATGGATATATATATATATATATATATATATATATATATAACCAAATGAAGGACGAATCAAATATAAATTCAAACGTTTCTAACATTAACTTAAAAATCGGGATCAATACAATAATAGAGCGATAGTTCTTTTTTTAGAAGCGACTATATCTTGTCTTTCTTCCTTTTTCTTTTTTCCGGCTATACGTTGTACCTTTCTTTCTTTTTAGAAGAGACTATATCTTCTTTCTTTCTTATTTTCTTTTTTTGCGGGAAAAGAGATTATTTGTTTTTAAGTAAATATTAAAAATTGTAATAATCCTCATTTACTACCGCCTGATGAGATGCGATGATATGCATCGAAACATGAATGCATTTATGCAGCGGTTTTACATATGTTCGAATTCTAATCCTCAGTTTTTAAAACAATAAATATAACCGAAGAGTGAAGGTAGGTATAATAAGAGAAAATGGGGGGAAACTGTCCTTTTAACACTCTGTTTTTCACAGGTACGAACATGTGTCAATTTTTCTTACGCTAACAAAACACACCCTCCAATTTTTCTTCCTTGACTTTTTTGACTATCATTTCTTTCCCAGTCATTCAGTTTTACTAACACCGCCTGCCCCTAAACGTACTAAAAGAAAGTATTATTTTATTCGACAGGCATGCTGGATAATAACATTAATTGGACACTCTTCACTCAAGTACGACTCCGGGGAGCCTTTCCCGATATGGGTGTCTTACTTCGGTGGAGTAATTGCCCTATTGTCAATCATACCTTTTCCAGTTGCTGCAATTAAAGAACTCTTGTCACTGCCGGGTCCTTTCTTAAAGGTGAGTAAAGAACATCAATATAAACAGAAACGCGATTCTACAAAGCAGAGAATAAAGAAGCAACTTAAGTTACATCACGATTTCAGGTTAAAGGCATCAACTTTTGAGACATGAGTCATAAAAAAATTGTTAGAAGATAATAAAGATATATTGAACTTATTGGTGATAAAACCTGAGAAGGGGTCTGAACTTCAGGTCATCAGTTCAAATAGTAACAAAAAAAAAGAAAGAAAAGAAAATTATTCAGAGTCTGTCTATATTTCTGAGATGAGGTATTATGTACATTATTTACATTATTCGGACTAATGTCCTCATCTTTGTCGCCATATTTATCACAACATTTCGGCCGTTGTACGCTCCGGCCTTCTTCAGGTGGTTGGAATCTCGAATTGAACCCTTTATTTTGCTCACTGGGGTAGACTGTTCTAGTTCCACGTGCCATGTTTTTGATGGATGTCAGTTATCAGTTATCTCCTGCTAATTTCCCTCTGAAAGTTCTCCACTGCCTTAAACGGGTATTGAACTCACACTCTTTGGGTCCTGTCACTGGATCTAACCAACGCCTTTATCCACTGTGCCATGTGTCCTTGAGGAAATGGGTTGAACAATGTGGGTGAAACTTTTGTACTCGGTGTTATCTCAGAATATCAAAAAACCTAGGAGATCCGAGATTTGACCTAAAAGGTAACCTTAAATTCAGCAAGTGAAGAATCGGGCCTCAAAGGAATACCAGTGGGTGCACCAGCATAAAGAAGTGAATCAGCTGAACTTAGGATACACATACTCAAGACAGCCCGATAGTAGGAAGTTATATAAATACCTAACCTACGAGAAGATTGACAGAATCCCTTACATCCTTGCAAGAATATGTTCGAACGTTCGAAGAAAGACCCGAAACCACATACCCTTGATACGATCGAATTTTATTTGATAGAGAAGTAAACAAACAATTATTTTACAAGATAAATTTAGACACGTGTTTTTATCAGCCAATTCTAATTTAATATTACACATTTACAAAGGTTATTTTTAAATCTCCCTCCACACTCTCATAGCGATAAATTGTAAAATTTCATAGCTGACGCTTGATGAGCTCAAAGTGCGAATTGCAAATCGGAGCTACCAAAATCAAACAAGTGCGAAAATTTAAATATCTGGGAAGGACACATGGCACAGTGGATAAAGGCGTTGGTTAGATCCAGTGACAAGACCCAAAGAGTGTGAGTTCAATACCCGGTTAAGGCAGTGGAGAACTTTCAGAGAAAATTAACAGGAGATAACTGATAACTAGAACAGTCTACCCCAGAGAGGCGAAATAAAGGGTTCTGGTTCGACATTCCAACCACCTGAAGAAGGAGCGTACAACGACCGAAACGTTGTGATAAATATGGCAACAAAAGATGAGGACAATAGTCCGAATAATGTAAATAATGTACATAATACCTCATCTCAGAAATATAGACATCTGGGAAGTATTTTAACAGAGGACAGTGTGACACTGAAATCCGAAGGCTTATTGGGATAGACAAAGATGCTTTCCAAAAGCTAAGCAGAGTACGAAGAAATAGAAAACTTATATCAAAAAAAACAAGTAAAACTGCTGAGATATATGTCTTCCTCTATGGCAGTGTGTGCTGGACAATCTTCTCAAAAGATGAAGAAAGATTTGAAGCTTAACAGAAATGTGGTTCTACAGAAGGATGCTGAGGATACCGTGGACCGAACATATGAAGAACGACGAAGTTTTGGAGAAAATGGAATCAAAAAGGAAACATACTTATCATTAGAACGAGACAGTTGAGATTTCTGGAGCACATAATGAGGAATGAGAGCTTGGAAAATCTGATTTTCACAGGACAGATAGAGGGCAAAGGAAAGCAACTCATAACATACATAGAGTGCTTAAATGGATGGCGGAACAAGGTTTAAAAAATACAAAGAAAGAAAGTTTATTAAGAGCTACAAAAGACAGGAAATTTGGAGAGCAATGATCACCTACGTCATCACAGTTATGAACGTGAAGAGTGCAATACGCCTTCGGATTTGATTTGTCACAGTTTTCCGTCCTCTGTTAAAACACTTCGGAGATATTTAAATTTTCGCGTAGTTTCATTTTGGTATCTCCAAATTGCAATTCGCATTTTAAAATTTATCGCTGTAATGAGATTGTTGATATGGATTAGAAAAAAATTACCTGTTTAAATCGTAGTTATATTAGAAACGTCTGATAAAAAATACGAAACTAAATTTACCTTTCGTAAAATAATTGTTTATTCACCCGTGGAATCTCAAATAAAGGCCGGCCGTATCGAGGGTATGCGGTTTCGAGTCTTTCTTCGAACGTTTAAACTTATTCTTCCGAGAATGTAAGATATTCTCTCTCTCTCCTTCCCCTCCTCCTCCTCCTTTGTACATTAGTTTGTGTATAACTTCCTGTTACCAGCAGTCTTGCGTATGTATGTCCTCAATTCAATTGGGTTCACTTCTTTATGTTGGTGTACTCATCGAGATCCTTTGAGGCCCGATTCTTCACTTGGTGACTTTGAGGTTACCCTTTAGGTCAACTCTCGGTGCTCCTAGGTGTTTTGATGTTCTCAGATGACACCGAGTGCAAAGCTTACTTTGGTGAACCGTACATATAAGAGTAACCACAAATGAAATCTATTTAAAATAAGTTATGTTATTATATGTTAACCATGCTATTAAAAATTAAATTTCTAAAAAGTAACATGAGAAATTCTTTTGGTAAGCCAATTTTCGAACCATCCTGCCACTTACCGAATTTTAGACCTACCAATTTTGAGAGAAACAGACATTGGAAGCTTGTGCTTGTGCAAAACATATTTCAATTTTGAAAATTACATTCCACGTCACATAGCAGATGTTATTCAGATAAAATTATTATGGCCCTCTTTAAATATGGTTGGGGCCAATACTGGATGGTTGAAGTTAGTGCTTAACAGCTTAGGGGCACAATATTTTCTTCGCCTTGGGCACCGGCAACCCAATCTACATCGTTACATCTTGTACCTTGCAAATATACCAATTAGTGCCAGAGTAATTATTTAGTCATTTAAGAATAGATGAGTATATATTATATATATATAACTGAATATACAACGGAACGCGACCCTCGACCAAGCTTTTTCATCAACCGGCCAATGATTATGGCATTGCAATCCTAGGTTTTTTGTTGTGCACCGAAAGCTGGGAAAGGGTGCGATGCATGTTCACAACAACACGCTTAGAAGACTAGACTTGAGAACAAACTATCCGTTGGTCTATCAAGCGGAAAAACTTGCGATCAAAAAAAATCTCTTTCTACATGTATTGTGACGAGAATATCCATGGCAACGAAGAAAAAGAGTCTTAAAACGCTCATATTCATGGCAAAAAAAAAGAAAAAGAGTCTTAAAAACGCTCTAAAAAAAACGGTAAGAAGAAAACGCTCTGCAGAACGAAGTTGGATTGCAAACTAACGGAGAGAAAGCTAAGTAAAAATAATCTTCTTTTGTAGAATGTTACCTTCACATTGAAAAATAACTGTCTGAAATATCGCTCTCAATAACGTTTTTCCTTTGTGTGAACATAAATTCACTTGGATATTAAAATAACTATCTGAGATATTGCTCTCTATAACTATCTTCTTTATGTGAACATTAATTCACTTGGTCACTCTTAAATCTATTTCCTTAACTTACAAATTAAATTGTTTTGTTATTGTTACGATCGTCTTATCTTCATCATTTATTTAGATAAATCGTTGCTACCTTTATTTTGTTGTTTTTTCTGTTAACCGTATTTGGTGAATCCATGTTTATACCCGAACCACATTCCTGAGCCAATCTGGGTATAGAATATCCGAGGTAAATATATATATATTTTTTATGACACAGCAGCCGAGGTCATCAGAGAGAAAATTCGTTTATACTTTGAAGCTTCGCCCCGCTCGTGACAGTATCCATCGTATCACATATACACATTCCAGATATTCTTATCTGAATACCTGCGTTTTCACCTTTGTTTAAACCTTGTCCGTTTCGTTAACAGAATTTGAGCGACATATACGTGCCATGGTGTGGGCAGGGGCAACGATGCTACAGCCCCAGACGCAAAATACTTAGGGGATGCAAAGTAATAAAAATAGTAATAAATAAAAAATGTGACTGTTTCAACTGCAACTTTTGAAATAAATTTTCAAATTTTAAATTAATGAAAATGATACTCAGAGATCGATAATGGACGAAGAATGGCTGATTAACGGAGAAATATTGTCATTTGAGAAATATTCGTATATTTCAATAACGTCATTGAAAAAGTACAAATTAAAATCAGGGAGATTTTAGATAAATTTGAAGACACTATACTAGCATTAGAGTATTGTATATACCAAATTTATTATGGTGTAATCTGATATCAGCTCGGAATGAGAAATCGTAGAGCCAAGTTCGAATTTCAGTCGGGTTTTTACATTCACTTACATGCAAATACCCTTGGTATGAATCCATCTCTCCACCCGACCATCATGATTTGAATTGCAGGTGTCCTTGTAACCCAGTCTGCCACAGAAAGAAATAGCAGCCGACTGTTGGAAAATTCTGCTTAGTCAGTCATGAATCGAAAGGGACATGATCGCCCAAGCACGTATTGCACTATGTAGTGTTGTGACATTGCATTTTATTTTAATCTGTTGGGGAAAGATTCCTTGGGTCACCGTTTGAATAAAAAAAAATGAAAAAAATTGCGTGTTCAAATAAAATGATATTTATTCAAACGTAGGATACACAAATTTTAACTGTAATTGCTTATCATGAAATGAAAGTTAGAAAATTCTTCTCTTTGACTGTAAGGAAATGAACGTGAATAGTCGTTGAGTGATTAAGAGAGAAAGTGGAGTTGGGAGACAAGATCAAAGAGAGTCCATTGTTGCCTTAGTAAGAAAGACAGGACGACGAGTTTGACTTGTGTCTCTTTTACTGCTGTCAGTCCTTCTGTCGAGTTCAATGAATGTTTGGTTTTTTATGGTCTTGTGTAGGCTCCAGAATCCTAGGTTTATTTACTGGCAGGGAGCTGATTCTATTCGCATATATTTTTTATTAAATTGAAAATTGAGGTACTTTTTTTAATCCGGAAGGCTGCAGAGCCCTTTGCGCGGTGTGTTTAATTTTGTCATTGCTCCTTTGATTTGATGTTGTTCACTTCCGCCTACTCTCTAAAAATATTTTCTTAAAATACATGTATTTACGGGGTGAAGTTCAATACTGGACTGATAGAAGTTTAGTGTTAACGGGTTAGGGGACGCAATATTTGCCTTCCTCCTGGCATTGTCAACACAGTCTATGTCCTTTAAAAATTGTATAATCCATTTTATTTATATTTTCCTCAGCGACTGAAGACCAGTGTGAAGCCGACATCTGAATGGGGACCTGCAATAAAGAAATACCAACAATGTAAAAATGACATCAACATGTTGACAATTGAAGAAACATAGTTTTGATATTTAAATTTTGTAAACTGCTCAGGTATTTCTAGATGCTTTCCAAAAGCTAAGCAGAGTACGAAGAAATAGAAAAACTTCGCTAAAAACAAGTAAAACTGCTGAGATATATGTCTTCCTCTATGGCAGTGTGTGCTGGACAATCTTCTCAAAGATGAAGAAGAGATTTGAAGCAACAGAAATGTGGTTCTACAGAAGGATGCTGAGGATACCGTGGACCGAACATATGAAGAACGACGAAGTTTTGGAGAAAATGGAATCAAAAAGGAAACATACTTATCATTAGAACGAGACAGTTGATATTTCTGGAGCACATAATGAGGAATGAGAGCTTGGAAAATCTGATACTCACAGGACAGATAGAGGGCAAGAGGAAAGCAACTCATAACATACATAGAGTGCTTAAATGGATGGCGGAACAAGGTTTAGAAAAATACAAAGAAAGAAAGTTTATTAAGAGCTACAAAAGACAGGAAATTGTGGAGAGCAATGATCACCTACGTCATCACAGTTATGAACGTGAAGAGTGCAATACGCCTTCGGATTTGAGTGTCACACTTTCCGTCCTCTGTTAAAACACTTCGGAGATATTTAAATTTTCGCGTAGTTTCATTTTGGTATCTCCAAATTGCAATTCGCATTTTAAAATTTATCGCTGTGAGATTGTTGATATGGATTAGAAAAATTACCTGTTTAAATGCGTAGTTATATTAGAAACGTCTGATAAAAATACGAAACTAAATTTACCTTTCGTAAAATAATTGTTTATTCACCCGTGGAATCTCAAATAAAGGCCGGCCGTATCGAGGGTATGCAGTTTCGAGTCTTTCTTCGAACGTTTAAACTTATTCTTCCGAGAATGTAAGATATTCTCTCTCTCTCTCCTTCCCCTCCTCCTCCTCCTTTGTACATTAGTGTGTGTATAACTTCCTGTTACCCGGCAGTCTTGCGTATGTATGTCCTCAATTCAGCTGGGTTCACTTCTTTATGTTGGTGTACTCATCGAGATCCTTTGAGGCCCGATTCTTCACTTGGTGACTTTGAGGTTACCCTTTAGGTCAACTCTCGGTGCTCCTAGGTGTTTTGATGTTCTCAGATGACACCGAGTGCAAAGCTTACTTTGGTGAACCCGTACATATAAGAGTAACCACAAATGAAATCTTCTCAAATAAGTTATGTTATTATATGTTAACCATGCTATTAAAAATTAAATTTCTAAAAAGTAACATGAGAAATTCTTGGGTAAGCCAATTTTCGAACCATCCTGCCACTTACCGAACTGACCTACCAATTTTGAGAGAAACAGACATTGGAAGCTTGTGCTTGTGCAAAACATATTTCAATTTTGAAAATTACATGCCACGTCACATAGCAGATGTTATTCAGATAAAGTTATTAAGTGGCCCTCTTTAAATATGGTTGGGGGCCAATACTGGATGGTTGAAGTTAGTGCTAACAGCTTAGTGGGCACAATATTTGCTTCGCCCTGGGCACCGGCAACCCAATCTACATCGTTACATCTTGTACCTTGCAAATATACCCTAGTGCCAGAGTAATTATTTCAGTCATTTAAGAATAGATGAGTATATATTATATATATATAACTGAATATACAACGGAACGCGACCCTCGACCAAGCTTTTCATCAACCGGCCAATGATTATGTGGCATTGCAATCCTAGGTTTTGTTGGTGTGCACCGAAAGCTGGGAAAGGGTGCGATGCATGTTCACAAATAACACGCTTAGAAGACTAGACTTGAGAACAAACTATCCATTGGTCTATCAAGCGGAAAAACTTGCGATCGTAAAAAAAAAAAAATCTCTTTCTACGTATGTATTGTGACGAGAATATCCATGGCAACGAAGAAAAAGAGTCTTAAAAACGCTCATATTCATGGCAAAAAAAGAAAAAGAGTCTTAAAAACGCTCTGCTGTAAAAACGGTTAGAAGAAAACGCTCTGCAGAACGAAGTTGGATTGCAACTAACGGAGAGAAAGCTAAGTAAAAATAATCTTCTTTTGTAGAATGTTACCTTCTACATTGAAATAACTGTCTGAAATATCGCTCTCAATAACGTTTTTCCTTGTGTGAACATAAATTCACTTGGATATTAAAATAACTATCTGAGATATTGCTCTCTATAACTATCTTCTTTATGTGAACATTAATTCACTTGGTCACTCTTAAATCTATTTCCCTTAACTTACAAATTAAATTGTTTTGTTATTGTTACGATCGTCTTATCTTCATCATTTATTTAGATAAATCGTTGCTACCTTTATTTTGCTGTTTTCTTTCTGTTAACCGTATTTGGTGTGAATCCATGTTTATACCCGAACCACATTCCTGAGCCAATCTGGGTATAGAATATCCGAGGTAAATATATATATATATTTTTATGACACAGCAGCCGAGGTCATCAGAGAAAATTCGTTTATACTTTGAAGCTTCGCCCCGCTCGTGACAGTATCCATCGTATCACATATACACATTCCAGATATTCTTATCTGAATACCTGCGTTTTCACCTTTGTTTAAACCTTGTCCGTTTCGTTAACAGAATTTGAGCGACATATACGTGCCATGGTGTGGGCAGGGGCAACGATGCTACAGCCCCAGACGCAAAATACTTAGGGATGCAAAGTAATAAAAAATAGTAATAAATAAAAAATGTGACTGTTTCAACTGCAACTTTTGAAATAAATTTCTCAAATTTTAAATTAATGAAAATGATACTCAGAGATCGATAATGGACGAAGAATGGCTGATTAACGGAGAAATATTGTCATTTGAGAAATATTCGTATATTTCAATAACGTCATTGAAAAAAGTACACAAATTAAAATCAGGAGATTTTAGATAAATTTGAAGACACTATACTAGCATTAGAGTATTGTATACTCAAATTTATTATGGTGTAATCGATATCAGCTCGGAATGAGAAATCGTAGAGCCAAGTTCGAATTTCAGTCGGGTTTTTTACATTCACTTACATGCAAATACCCTTGGTATGAATCCATCTCTCCACCCGACCATCATGATTTGAATTGCAGGTGTCCTTTGTAACCAGTCTGCCACAGAAAGAAATAGCAGCCGACTGCTGGAAAATCTTCTGCTTAGTCAGTCATGAATCGAAAGGGACATGATCGCCCAAGCACGTATTGCACTATGTAGTGTTGTGACATTGCATTTTTATTTTAATCTGTTGGGGAAAGATTCCTTGGGTCACCGTTTGAATAAAAAAAAAATGTGAAAAAAATTGCGTGTTCAAATAAAATGATATTTATTCAAACGTAGGATACACAAATTTTAACTGTAATTGCTTATCATGAAATGAAAGTTAGAAAATTCTTCTCTTTGACTGTAAGGAAATGAACGTGAATAGTCGTTGAGTGATTAAGAGAGAAAGTGGAGTTGGGAGACAAGATCAAAGAGAGTCCATTGTTGCCTTAGTAAGAAAGACAGGACGACGAGTTTGACTTGTGTCTCTTTACTGCTGTCAGTCCTTCTGTCGAGTTCAATGAATGTTTGGTTTTTATGGTCTTGTGTAGGCTCCAGAATCCTGGGTTTATTTACTGGCGGGAGCTGATTCTATTCGCTATATATTTTTTATTAAATTGAAAATTCGAGGTACTTTTTTTAATCCGGAAGGCTGCGCAGAGCCCTTGCGCGGTGTGTTTAATTTTGTCATTTGCTCCTTTGATTTGATGTTGTTCACTTCCGCCTACTCTACAAATATTTTCTTAAAATACATGTATTTACGGGGTGAAGTTCAATACTGGACTGATAGAAGTTTAGTGTTAACGGGTTAGGGGACGCAATACTTGCCTTCCTCCTGGCATTGTCAACACAGTCTATGTCCTTTAAAAATTGTATAATCCATTTTATTTATATTTTCCCAGCGACTGAAGACCAGTGTGAAGCCGACATCTGAATGGGGACCTGCATTAAAGAAATACCAACAATGTAAAAATGACATCAACATGTTGACAATTGAAGAAACATAGTTTTTGATATTTAAATTTTTGTAAACTGTTTCAGGTATTTCTAATTATAGACCCTATTTTTGTTGTATGAAAAACAAATAGAATATATTAAAAAAAATGAACTTTAAAAAATTACGTTTTCTTTCATGTCTTTTCTTTCATTTTTTTTAAATACTTTGCTTATTTCTAAAATTATTTCCAACTTTTTCTTCGTGGTTAATGAATCGGGTTACTTTTTTTTTTAAGCCCCGCAATAAGTATCTAATAAAAATTTACCAAACACTTATATTTATGTGTAAATGTACATGCTTAATTCGAAAATAACAAAGACATTTTAATAAAATCTACCATTTGGGAGTTATCGACGATAAAAGTTCGGACTCATTCGGGTAGCAGCCAACGACGCGAATGAGATCAAACTTTTATTGTCGATAACTCCCAAATGGTAGATTTTATTAAAATGTCCTTGTTATTTTCGAATTAAGCATGTATACCTAAAATTGTTCGGGAAATTTTTATTTGTTACTTATTGCGGGGCTTAAAAACAAATTACCCAATGAATATTAATCAAACAATTACAACCAGACTAAACTAATCATCTGGCCATGTTGTCATTAATAGCGAACTAGTTTAACAGATACATTTATGTATCAAGTTCTTTCAGGAGGTGAACGATTATGACTCACCACAACTCTAGTTCTTTCTGGCTCTAAGTAGCTTTTGGCCTTAAATAGCCTTTGTAAATGTCTTTGCCGGTGGAGTAATGTTGGAGTAATGGATAGCGGCTTGGATTGAGGAATCAGAGAACCGAATTCCAGTCAAATCCATTACATTCACTTACGTGCTAATTCCCTTGGGAAAGGTATGGATCCCCCCCCCCTATAGCCTTGGATGGCAACTGGTCTACCGTAGAAAGAAATCTGCTTCGTCAGTCAGGTATCGAAAGATATGTGATCGTTTAAGCATGTTTCACGCTGTTATGCCACCCATTCACACAAATTTGTTAAGTACGTTACTCACTGTTTCACCTTGCTTCTCTTGCGATCAGCATGTCGCCTGGGCGTTAAATTACCCTTGCTCATTTTTCCTCATTATGCGTCCCAGAAATTTCGAAATTTAAGCATAAAATATTTTTGCAAGGGTAAATTTTATTATTTATTATAGCGATATAAATCGGGCGAGTTAAAACTAGAAGGAAAACAAAAAATAAGGTAACAAAAAAATAATAACATCAGCACCATGTGGTAATACCGAAGAATGATACAGTTAACAGAAAAAAAAATAGCTAAAGCTGTTTATCGCTCTTCTCTCATGAGAGCTAAAACAGTTTATCGGTTATCTCTGATCAGACATAAAGCTGTTTATCGTTCACCTCGCATTAAAGCTAAATTGGATTATCAGTCCTTATCATTAGATCTAAACTAGTTTATTGGTCGTCTACTTTAGAGCTAAAGCAGCTTATTGGTCCTCTTGTATAAGAACTAAACTGGTTTATTGGTTTTCTCACATTAGAGTTAAACCAATTTATCAGGCAACTCGCATCAGAGCTAAATTACTTGATCAATACTTTCTCATTCGAGCTGAACCCATTTATCAGGCCTCTCGCATCAGAGCTAAACTACTTTGTCAATACTTTCTCATTAGTGTTAAACCCATTTATCAGGCCTCTCGCATCAGAGCTAAACTACTTTGTCAATACTTTCTCATTAGTGTTAAACCCATTTATCAGGCCTCTCGCATCAGAGTCAATACTTTCTCTAAACTATCAGGCCTTTGTCAATACTTTCTCATTAGTGTTAAACCCATTTATCAGGCCTCTCGCATCAGAGCTAAACTACTTTGTCAATACTTTCTCATTAGTGTTAAACCCATTTATCAGGCCTCTCGCATCAGAGCTAAACTACTTTGTCAATACTTTCTCATTAGTGTTAAACCCATTTATCAGGCCTCTCGCATCAGAGCTAAACTACTTTGTCAATACTTTCTCATTAGATTTAAACCCATTTATCAGGCCTCTCGCATCAGAGCTAAACTACTTTGTCAATACTTTCTCATTAGAGTTAAACCCATTTATCAAGCCTCTCGCATCAGAGCTAAACTACTTTGTCAATACTTTCTCATTAGTGTTAAAACCCATTTATCAGGCCTCTCGCATCAGAGCTAAACTCCTTTGTCAATACTTTCTCATTAGTGTTAAACCCATTTATCAGGCCTCTCGCATCAGAGCTAAACTCCTTTGTCAATACTTTCTCATTCGATCTGAACCCTTTTATCAGGCCTCTCGCACCAGAGATAAACTTCTTTGTCAATACTTTCTCATTGGAGCTAAACTCATTTATCACATCACTCGCATCAGAGCTAAACTATTTTGTCAATGATTTCTCATTAGAGTTAAACCCATTTACAGGCCTCCCCGCATCTGAGCTAAACTACTTTGTCAATACTTTCTCATTCGAACTGAACCCATTTATCAGGCCTCTCGCATAAGAGCTAAACTAATTTGTAAATGGCTTCTCATTATAGCTGAACCCATTTATCAGGCCTCTCACATCAGAGCTAAACTTCTTTGTCAATACTTTCTCATTAGAGTTAAACACATTTATCAGGCCTCTCACATCAGAACTAAACTACTTTCTCAATACTTTCTAATTAGAGTTAAACCCATTTATCCGGCCTCTGCATCAGAGCGAAACTCCTTTGTCAGTACTTTCTCATTGGAGGTAAACTCATTTATCACGTCTCTCTCATCAGAACTAAACTATTTTGTCAATACTTTCTCATTCGATTTCAACCCATTTATCAGCCACTCGCATCAGAGCTAAACTACTTTGTCAATGCCTTCTCATTCGATCTGAACCCATTTATCAGTCCTCTCGCATCAGAGCTAAATTACTTTGTCAATACTTTCTCATTAGAGTTAAACCCATTTATTAGGGTTCTCTGATCAGAGCTAAACTACTTTGACAATACTTTCTCATTCGAGCTGAACCCATTTATTAGGCCTTCTTCAATCAGAGCTAAACTACTTTATCAATACTTTCTCATTCGAGCTGAATCGGTTTATAGGTCCTCTCTCATTAGCGTTAAACTGCTGTATCAGTCAACTAAACCAGTTTATCGGTCATCTCTCATTAGAGTTAAACAGGTTTATCAGTTAACTAACCAGTTTATCGGTCATCTCTCATAAGATCTAAACAGGTTTATCAGTCTTCTCTCATAAGAGTGAAACAGGTTTATCACTTAACTAAACCAGTTTATTGATCCTCTCTCATTAGAGATAAGCTGGTTTATCAGTTTTCTCACGGCTGACTAATATATACGGCCCCACATGTCACATTTCAGGCTAATTTCTACCAGGCCTCTTTGGTTTATAGTCAATGTATGCGTGTTTTATTTAAAACATGTTAAAACGTCCAAAATACACAAATATGTTGTTTTTTCTCTATTTAAACAGCAAAGTAATAATAAAAGATTGCAAACAAACAAAAAAAAATTATTAAAGACTTAAGTAGTAATACAAAACAAATACAAGAAAAACTTACCAACAGTTTCTCTAGAAATCAATTTTCTTTTGACCTTTGTTTTTTTTTTTTTTTTTTTTTAAAAAAAACATTCTATAATATTTTTTTTCAAACTTCATCCGATGAAAACTTTCATTTGTTGCAAAATATATTCAACAATTTTTACTACAAAGTGAATTCTTTTTCAGTGTGTTGCTCACAAATAAAACATACTTTGGAGAATAAGTTTCAAAATTCTTTCAGCAAATTCTGTTGTCGTGGATTCATTATGTTTTACAATAAATTTATCTGTATAGTCAAGTATAGCAAAACAAGCACAAATGAATTCTGCCATTTGGTTAGATGGAACCGTAAACCTACACGAGAAAGTAAGTCAAAGTACTACTTCTCTGTAGCATCATCACTATCATTACCTTCCATGACTATATAATTTCACATTGAAAACGTTTAATTATTTTGCATTTTCTCTAATAATGGAAAAGATGGTATTGGAAATCTCCCCAGAAGTAATTTGTAGGCTTGTTGAGACTTAATGCGCAGTAGTAAGTTATAACATATTAGTTCTACAGTAAATAACGGATGACCTCTTGATTGGTAATGTTGTCTTTTTTGTAATTCTTTTAGAATTGAGTGTGGTTGTTATTCCACCAAGTTTTTGAAAAACTTTCTAACATGCTAAATCTTGTGAGTTTAGCATTATGTCCATGTATAAAGCACTGTGGTAACGGTATAGAGGGGCCATCGCACTTGAGTTGGACGTGAAGGTTTTGGACAATGTGAATACATTCTTTTATAGAGGGAAATATGTTCAGGGTCAAAGAAGATTCTATAAATTAGAATATAGTCTTGCTTTTTTAAAATGCAAAACCTTTAGAACAATACTTTGCTTCTTCTAATTGTGTAACATTCTTTATTTTATCATCTGAAGTAAAATCATGTCATTCATCAGTTTGGAAAAGTCGTTGTTTTGGAAGCTTCCTGAATTCCCTTGTATTCGGCAAAAGAGACGATTTTCTTAATTTTTTTTTCTGCATGTCTTGTAGGTATTGGACATAAACCCCAATTCAGTTTGTTTCGTTTTCCTTTCAAACTTAAATTTCTCTTCAAAATGTTTTATTCGGAGAAAATAATTTTTCGTTGGAAACCAGTCAATACGATTAACGAATTTTATCCATTTTCTGCGATGTTGGATTTTCCAAGAGGAAAAGAAAATGTCAATACTTTTTCACTGTTTGTAACATATCCGCTAGGACAGCCACATATCTTTTTTTTTTATCAGTCCTCTCTCTTTAGAGTTAAACTGGTTTATCGGCCAACTAAATCAGTTTATCCGTCATCTCCCATTATAGATAAACCAGTTTATCAGTTCTGCACATTAGAATTAAACTGGTTTCTTGGTCAACTAAAGCAGTTTATCGATCATCTCTCATAAGAGTTAAACTGTTTTATGAGTTAGATAAAAATTCATTAGAGTAAAAAAAAAAAAAAAGGATTATCCCT